AGTACTGCGCATTGCACCTCTGAGCCCAGCAATCTTAAGTCAATAGAAATAATTGTAAATAGTGTCATAATCCTCAACGATCACATGGTAGTGATAAGAGCAGGAGACAAAGCCGAATGGACTATCAGCGCCATGTATCTGATAACTTTCGACGATACGGTTCAGATAAATACATCGAGCTACAGGAACCGCAACAACATCATTAAGAAAACGCCTGGTACCGCGGCTTCATCGCTTCTAAATCTCACTGGGTACCAAACGGAACTGAGCTTGCCCTACCTTCATAACATGAACGTCAATAATCTACGTTACATTGGAAAATGGATACAAAATTAATTGCAAATCCGGCCTTGTCAGCTTTTGCAGCTACTGTTGTTTTAATTCTTCGCTAGGTCAGCGTGCAACTATTCAAGCGCATGAAAGCACGGCGCCAAACCCATGCCATTCAAGTGGTCGTGGAAAGTCTGAAGAGAACCGAGGATGGATCACATTTAAGCCAGGGAGAAGTTAACACGAGTAGTGGCCAAGTGAGCAAACAACTTAAGTTGTGTAAGTAATCGAACTAATTACGTAAACAATTTGTTCTTTGGCATTCCAACGCTATTCATTGTATTCCATACTTATAATGAAATATGTGTAATGCAATACTTTGCACAAGCAGTTTGGTAAACACAAATGCTGATTGAACGGTTTGTACTGAATAAACAGAAATGCTGTAAACGGTTCACGGCACCATTGCGGCTCAGGAAGGAAGGGTTATGTTAGGTTAGGTTTGGTTGAAGCGGCTGACTACATTCCACATGAGAAAGAGGCACATTTACATCCAATAGGTGCGTTGTGATACCAATTAGGAGCTCGAATCCGAACCTGTCCGTTTACCTAGAAGTGGAACCATTTGGTTAGGATGAGAAAGTGTGAGAATTCGTAAATGCCTGCTTCATTTAAAGCGGAGAGGCAGACAAACTGGTAGTGGTGAAATGAGCGTATTTTCGTCCACATGTAGGCGGGGCAGTGACATAGGTAGTGCTCCATGCTCCCGATTTTGTCCTCGCCGCGGCAACCACGGCAGAAGTCATTAGCCGGCAAACCCATTCTGCTAGAATGCCTTCCCATTAGGCAGTGGCCTGTAATAATACCGGTCACTAGCCTTAGTACAGGGCGTTCTAACGCAATGAGTTCGTCGGATATTTTCTTGTCGAAGCTGGGCCAGATTTGTCGACTCGTCCCACACGTGGGTTCTTCCGACCACCTTTTGTTTGCCTTCCCAAACGAAGTATGCCCTGAGCCATGTCTTGCAGGTAGATGGGGGTATGCCCGCTGCATGAGAGGAGTTGACGTCAGACAGGGTGGTTCGCTTCCTCGCAAGCTCGTTCGCAACACGGTTACCTTGAATGTCCCTGTTGCTTGGTACCTACACGATGTGAGTAATAAACTTTGATTTTTGCATTCAATCCGCATTCTCCAGACCAGGTTTCCACGATACTCAAGGCGTTCTGCAACATTTCTCTCAGGATTTGTGGGTGTTTACCGGTTTCAGTTAGGGCAAGGTCATCGGCATATGCAATAGCGTTGCAGCCAGTGTCCTGTAAGCGCACGAGAATGGTGTTTACCGTAAGATTCCAGAGAAGTGGTGAGCTCCACCTATCTCCAAATACATAGTTCTCCGGTTGAGGAGAACACGGACAAAGTCCACCAGGGATCGATCCAGTCCGATCTGGATCTTAGATGCTCTCTCGCCTCTGGGAGGACATTATTAAAGGCTCCTTCTACGTCTAGAAAGATACCCAGTATTAAGTCCTTGTATTCCAAGCATTTTTCAATATCGGAAACGATTTTGTGGAGTGCTATTCCACAGATTTGCCTCCGGAGTAGGCCTCTAGTGTAGTAGAGTAGAGTAGTAGTAAAGTAGGAAAATGCCATCCATCCTAGGGGATTTGAAAGGTTTAAAAGATCTTGCAACCCAATCAAATTCCCGTGGAGCCGGGACGGACTTACTCGGCGCTACGTAGCAGCCAGGGGAGTGTGTATCTACAAGAATCTCCAGCATATCATCCGAAGATGAAATCGACTCTCCGTTTGGCCTTTGGATGTAACTGGGAGAAAAGCGACTCTTTGATAAGAACTTCCGTAACCGGTTGCCTTCCAAATGTTCCTCAATGTTGTTACAGAAGTTTTTCCATGATGTCCTCTGAGCCTTTTTGATAGCTCGCTTGATATTTCTTAAGGATTCCTTATAAGAGTGCCATAATCCACCTCTTTTCGTCTTAATACAGAGCTTCCTGCATTATCAGGGAGGCGATTTCTTCGTTCCAACAATGTGACTTCTTTTTTCACTTCGGAATTATGATAGGGCAGGAGGTGGAAAAAGCCGCGCTACAGGCTTTGGTGATATGGTCCACTGCTTCTTAAATTTTTTCCATTGAACGTAGTCCTCCGAGAGAAGCATGCTGGAAGTCAACAGATTCCGTTTCATCAGATGTTATCGGTAAGCGAGACTTACTGTTAATAGCGCTTCTAAAAAGGAGGTCCGAGCATATACTCCTGAACTTGTTCCAGTCGGTTCGTCTCCTATTTCTGTAAGCGACTGGAGATGGTGGTTAGAAAGAGATCATAAAATTTGTGTATCTCTGATCGGAAAATGCATGGTCATTTGAGTCATGCTACTAAGTAAAATTTTCTGAGAAACTATCCCACAAAAGAGAAATGTCTAGCACCTCCCTTCTGTTAGAGGTAACAAAAGTTAGCCTACTTCCACAACGTCCCGCAACCAGGTCAAGGGATAAGTGGCGTGATCGTGTACCATGTACGATGAGACCAGCCAAAGTGGTTTTGACCAAACTTTCACGCATATTCTCGCCGTGTCCTCGTCACTAAACTGTGTGAGTAGAAGATTAGAAACAGTTTTCTTTATTAAAATGCATGATCTAATCTTACCTATCACAGGGGCTGACACGCCATGATATGCATTAGAGTTGAGTCCACAAATCTTCTGGTGTGCTACCCAAGGTTCCTGGACATATACGAGCTCCTCGCCTCTTGCGTCTAGGTGCAGCCGATGCTGCCTTCGAATGGTGGAGGTTAATTTGTAGGACCCTCACCATTGTCAGACATGCTCATGATCTCGTCGTCCATTGTGTCCTGGCTGTCGTCCTTGGGCGCTACTTCTGTTACGTCAGCGTCCTCATCGTCCGAAGCCAGTAGCCGGTCCTCCGAGATCTTGATCCATCTAATGAATGAATGATCCTAAAAGGCTAGTCACGGAACTAGTATCGCTGTCCGTGCCTACATATGACTCCAAGGTCTGAGTCTTTGCTTGTCCGTCCAAGTTTTCCTGGGGCGGAACTGGTTCACTCTCCCCTTTCATAGAGTCGTCTTGAGAAACAGGGTTGGAAGCAACGGGTTCACATGTAGTGTCTCTCGTGTTTTTGGGAAATGTCCTCATTCTCTTTTTGGGTTTTGAGGGTTATGAAGTAAAAGCCGTAGATTATTACCCCATTGTTTTCTGCGAATATGGGCAGAAAGTCTTCCTTTATAACAAACGTGATATATCTCGGCTGATCCTTCACCTCGCTGACCTTCACTACTCTCCAATCAAGGGTTGGTAGTGAGCCGTCGGAGAGCTGGATTATCTCCAAGATATCTCATTCGGGCTTGGCGGGTTCTTCTGGCACCAAGGCCCGGGCCCGGGGCGTACAAGGAATTTCATCCCTATGAACGGCCGCCAGGTTGGCGCCGGGCCACAGTTCACCCAGCATGGCTATGGCTTTATTATATAGTTTCACTGACCTTTCGTCGGCAGAGGAAACCAATTTTATGTGGACCTGGTGAAGGCCCGCGTCTCGGACTACAGAGAGGGTCCTGGGTTTTTGCCAAGAATCTCCTAGTAGACCCGGCAGGAGCCCACAAGGACGTCCGCCGTCAGGTTCCTCTCCATGTGCCCCTATCAATAATTTCTAGGCCTAGATGGTTTTAGCGATATCGTTGAAAGCCCTTTGTGCCCGAACAGGGTTAATAGGGTCGGAAGAATTTATATATCTGGGCTTTTTAAGTTCCCTCTCAGTGCTCTTATCCACTGACCGTTGTCTCTTTGAGCCCAATGGCTTGGAAGTTTTGGAAGCTGCCTCATGGTTCACGGAGGCGTCCATGCTCTCCGTCAGTTTCCGGCTTACCGCAAGGATGACCTTGATCCACTCCTTGGCTTACCGCAAGGACGCCCTTGGTCCTTTTTTTCCTGGTTTGCAGGATTTTCGCCAAATTTCTCGAGAAGCTTTGAGGCGGTTCCTCGCTCCCGTTGTAGGCCTACCAGATACCGTGCCCGCAATGAGCTCTTTAGTGCCGGGTGCCTACACAGCCTCGGCCGCTGTTGAACTACCCTCGAGGGATTTGTCCATAGCCGCTTTGGCCGACAAGCTATTTCAATCGGCTGTTCAGGCCTACTTTGCGAGTCAGTCGCCGGTTCCTTGGGTCGCTCGAGGGGTACGTTGGAGCTGGTGGTGAGCGCGTAGGGTCTTTCAAGCTTGCCCGAATAAAGTTGGCCGGTAGCCAAGGGTTTTTTGATATGATTAACGCCGTGTCCGTCGGTGGCATTTTTACCCGTACAGGGATGCGGGTTAGGGTTAGAGTAAGTAAGGAAAATTGTGTTAAGTTTAATTGATAAGTTGAGCTCAAATTGGCCGCAAGAAAACAGCGGACTAAACAAATGACACAGATATATATATTTTGTATTTTTGTAATTTATACGCCTATTTTCCTTAACTTTAGTTACAAGGTTTAAATCCGCTTGATTATAATATTTACAAGCCAAATAAAAGGTTTATAGGAAAGTAAGGGTATTCATCTCAACGAGTAAATGCCCTGTAACCACGTCAACTTACTTAATTTTGTATGTATATCCGGTTTATTTACCAAGTTTACGGGTTTACGAGGCATTTAAGCCTTTTCACGAATAACCATAATATATTAGACATTGTATGTACATACAATCAACTTATGCAACTTACCTCTCCCAAAACTTTTCCTTTGAGTCTTCAACGAGGAATGGTTTAAGTGGGTAGCTTATTTCATTGCCCATGTAAGAATATGATAAATATAAACACGTAAGTACAGATGCCTGTAGTTCCGATTCTTTGGTTTCTTCGCCATCTACCAGTTCCCGTATTAACATGTACACAAAAACGACATTTGCTGGATTTATAAATGCTACGTCCTGAAACAGGAATTTTGGAAAAAATCAGGGAAGTGATAAAAATCTTAAGCGCTATGTATAAAAGCACTTGGTTAAGGTAGGTATGTACATTAGAGTAGTCTTAGAAATATTCGAATTGTCTAAAACTTAAAAATACAAGGCTTAAGACGAATTGTCCCTAAGATGAACCCTATTGTGGATACCAAGTCGGAAATGCAACTACTTTAAAAGCAATTTAAAAAGTAGTTGGAATTCTTCCTTTTTCATATAAGCAACTAACTAACTAATATGGCGATGTCCTAGGAGCAAATCAATTATCCGACTCTGCATTTGATTTCAACCAAAATTAAAATATATTTGGCTGAAAGGATATTAAAATGAGTTTTTTTGTAGCTGCAATAATATTAGTCCATTTCCAACTACTTTAGATTCCATTTGTTTCCAAATATTTTAAAATCGATTTGTTTCCAACACTTTCAAATTTTGTTTGTTTCTAACTATTTTCATACCTCTCTGCTTCCAACTATTTTAAAACCTATTCGTTTCCAATTACATGTATACCTGTCTGTTTACACTATTTATAAATATGTTTCTTTTGTGGTAACTATAAAATTTTATTATCTTTTTGTTTCAACTAAAGTACATTTCAATTCAGTTAATTTTAAACATTTACACTCCAATTCATTGCTAAGTATTTATGTATATAAACAAGAAATTTACATTTTGGTAATGATCGGTAATCGATACTCACATTGGAACTTTTAAAGAAACTTATGCTAATTTCTGTTTTTTGCGATTTAAAACAATTCACGTTCGCTAAATAAAGAAATTTACACTAAAAATACTGTTGGGAATCGTCACTCGCATTGGAGATTTTAGAGAAACTTAACCTAGATAATTTTTTTAATTTAAGCAATTTTTTTTCATGCTTTCGCCGTAAAAATTTTGTTTTTTACGGTCTGAATATCCTTCGGAATTATGTCATCTGGATCCTTTTCGTCAATATAAAAAGCATCTAATATCGATAGAGGAATAATTAAAAAATTGTTTATGTTCCGCATTCAAGAATTTCAGTCACTATCTTATCTTTAAAAAGTGGATAAAAGTTTTTGTAATCGTTTAACCTTTTTTTCCGTGAGTGCCATCGACGTTGTATTTCAGTATTACCTCTTTAGTAAAATGGAAAAAAGCATCTTCTTGGGCTTTCCTTTCATTAAAGACTTCATACCATCAAGCTATTGAATATTTAGGTGAAAGGTAGTGATTGTTTATTACGCTTAGTTTATTAAGGAAGTACAAGTGATGAATATATTTAGTACTCACATAAATCAATTTATTATCCTTATTTATATTACAGTCCACGGCTGCGAAAGTGTCATCTGTTTCCACTGGAAATGAAGAATTGAACGAAACTACATCGTTTTGTTAACGGATCAGGGATTTTATTGGCACAGTTTGACCCGCTAGCACCTTCATAACAGCTTCGTCTTAGCTTTTGTTGTCCTCTGTTAAAAAAAAAGTAAGTGCGCCTGAGCCACACTGTAGAAGTGAAACTTACGTTACTTATCTATCTATACATACACACATCTGCTTTTGCTTAAGGTTATATTTTTTCGCTTTTTTTCTATCAATGGCGATCCCTAACTCTACCACTGTTCGTTTTAATAACATTCATGTTATTCTGTTTTTCCATTATCTTCATTTTTATCATTATACTCTATCGATAACAAAATCGATTATAACGTCCATCAAAATACCGATACCAAAATCGATGACAAATTCGATAAAAATTTCAATAGCAACATCGATAATACCGTTGGTAGCTAAATCGATCAAAATATCGATAACAAAATCGATAAGTATCGATAACAAAATCGATAAATATCGATGACAAAATCTATTTATATCGATAACTTAATCGATAAATATCGATAACAAATTCGATAAATATCGATAACCAAATCAATAAATATCGATAACAAAATCGATAAATATCGATAACAAAATCGGATAAATATCGATAACAAAATTGATAAATATCGCTAACAAAGTCGATAAATATCGATAACAAAACCGATAAAAATCTCGATTATTTTATCGGTAGATCTCGAGAATCCCGAAAATCTCTAAAATCCAAAAATAATTCCCAGATTGAGTCTCTGTGTCTCTCTCTATATCCTTTCCTCTGTAATTACCTCTATTTTAATCTTTCTTCCCCTACCTTTATCTTTGCTTTTATCGGTATCCTCATCCTCCTCTTTGTCTGCACTTTTATGTTCATCATTTTTTTCAGCTACATATTACCCTTCACATTTGTTCTTATATATATAAGTAAAGTGTTTAGATTTACCTTGGTCTTCATTTTTGCCTTTGTCTTTACGCATCTTTGTTTTTGTTGTTATTTTTACCTTTGCCTTTATTCTTTTCTTCATTTATGTACGTAGTCACCTTTACTTTCATTCTTGTATTGGTCTTTTTCTAAGTGTTATTCTTTAACCTTTTGTTAGCAAATTTTTGTTAAATTTATAGATACCATATGCATACATATAAGAAGCACTTGTTTCAGCCCCAACCATTTGCGTTGCACCATTTCCCTTGCACCATTTCCGTTGCATCAGTTCTATTGCATCATTTCCGTTGCATATACACAAGAAGTATTTGTTTCAGCCCCAATCATTTCCGTTGCACCATTTCCGTCCCGACCAGTTCCGTGTGCAATTTCCGCTGAATTTGCTAATTTACTCCCAACCAACCAACCGCCGCTAAAGAAGTTTCACTTCAAAAAAAAAAAACAGTATAAATATGCAGACATGTTAGAACATATCGGTAGCTCGGTGCAATAACGGCACAATTCAGAATTCAAAAAATTAAAACTGTTACTACTTTGAAGTGGCTCATGTCTCTAATCCTTGTCGAATCCATGTCGAATCTTTTGTACTTTCTTCAGCAGTCCTTACTGTTTACTTTAGTAAAGGATGGCAATGGATTAGAGAAGGATTTAAGATAAGAGCCACTTAACAGTAGTAACGGTTTATGTTTTTTGAAGTTTGAATTGTGTCGTTATTGCACAGGACCATCGATATACAGAATAAAAATGTACAGGTGTACATACAAAAATAATATCACAAAGTGACTGTGACTCAAACAACTGACAACAAGATAATTTTTTCAATGCTCACGTGTTTTCTGGCTAAACCTTCTTCAGCATCTACAGAAGTTTCACAACATTTAGAAAAGTTCCATATATATTCATAGGTAGCTGTTGTTTGAGTCACTGTATTTATATATATATGTATATAAATATTTACCTTTAACGTCGCTGAGATCTTTCTTCAGTATTTCTATAAGCTCCGTACATTTCGAGCATCTGCTTTTCGTTTGTTTTTGTTATTTCCATAGGAAGATTTAGCCGTTTAATTTTCGACGGCACATTTTTTCCTTCAGTAACTTTTATCTTATTTTCATACATTTTATCTGTTGCCTTTTATATACTTGCAAATAGTTAATCAATAAAGTTAAGGTGCAGTGATTTTCGTAAAGTTAATATTCAAATTAGGCAATGAAGCAGTGGTATTAATATAAAGTGATTATCTTTCGGGATACCAACAAATTTGTATTTAATCTTATCTAAAGTAAACTCCTCCACTACACCCAAATTATCAGAATGAAAAGGCATATGTATGCCTAAAGATGTCAATGAATCAGTTGGTTCTTTAAAAAAGCTATCAATCGTAAGGAATTTTTTCCCATTTTTCCAATTAGAACCACAGAGTTGTAATTTTTTTTTAAAGCCAATAACTTTTAAGGAGTATTTGGTAAAACACAACAAAAATTTTCAGAAAATTTGGTACTTAAAAAATAATCACTTAAAACACAGTAAATTATTTCGTTGTTTTTATATATTTCTTTAAAATAATTTTTTTCAACAATTATATTCTTCAACACTTTTAGTAATTTGCTGCAATAATTTTGAAGGCTTCTCGACATAATTTTTCAGGGTTTGTAGCTAGTTCTCGAAGGGATAACTAGAAAACTTTGAAGCATACCCAAATTATGCTACAGAATCTACCAAATGCAAAAGCCCGTGAACATTAATATGAAATACTATTCTCCCCAAAAATGATTGTGAAGTTTTCAGCAAACAATTGCAGCATATTTTGAGCTAGTGGAACATTATTTTTTCATGTTTTAGGACATGAAAGCAACCGGTAAGCACAATGCAAGAGAAGGAATTCGTAGTAAACGTCTGGGTGAACTTTGTTTTTCAGCACAGATATACCCGAGTACAATACAAATTGACGAAACTCGGTGGCCTTCCAATTAGGTAGTTCGCAAAAACTTCTAGGTTTACACACAATTTCCTTCGGTATATTTAATCTAATGCTAACTAAGTGGTCAGATATTCCCTTTTTACCTTCTTCACTTACTTTGAAATTGGTTTTATCGTAAAACATCCTTGCAACAAATTTACTAACTACTCTAAGGTCTATTAGGTGCATGGGATCAGTGGAACTTGATTTATCATATTTAAGTTTATATTCTCGAAAGGAGTTATGTTGTTGTAAAAAAGCTTTTGGTGATGTTGCAAGAATTTTTTAGTTTTAAAATCCTCATCTGACAGTAAATCTCCACAATTAGTAGCATTAGTTAATGTATTGTTAACTTGTTTCCCTACCTGGTTACATTTAGAACACCCATTGCTGGATGTAAGGCCTGCAATGCCACATACAAACGATTTTGCAGCTTTAATTTTCAGTGTAATCATTTCGTCCCTAATTTGAATTGACTTATGTACATATTTGATAAAAACGAACAAAGGGCAATAGTGTTGCAGGAACATAAACGAGCACACAGGGCTGCACATGAAAACACAAAGCAAATTTTGGGAGACTACCTCTTTCCGAAAATAACGTGCTAGCAAATTGCAAAACTTGTTCAAAAGGTAAATATCATCGCCATCTTAAGAAACAAATGATTGCAGAAGATCCAATTTTATGCTTCGTGAGTGAATATCTGCGTGT